TACTTTTCTATACTTGTAGTAAAAATTTTTATATTATTTCAGTTATACAAGTATATAGTTGTTTATTTATAATTTATTCTGTTTATTTGACTTGTACTTGTAGTAAAGATTTACTTGTAGTAAAGATTTACTTGTAGTAAAGATTTACTTGTAGTAAAGATTGACTTGTAGTAAAGATTGACTTGTAGTAAAGATTGGCTTATAGTAAAGAATTTTTTAAATAATTACTTGATATAGTAAAGTTATGTAGTTAAAATCTCGATATTAAGAGTTTTTTAAACAAATATCATAAAATATCTCGTGATAAAAGTCACTCTCGTTATAGTGACGTGATCCGTTCCATTAATAAAAATTTTTTAAAAATTCACTATATAAGAGCTTTATTAGTAAATTTATTATTGAGATAATTTTATATAGACTAGCTTTGAGCTTAACTTCACTATATCGAGATTTTAATTAGTCTTCACTATATAGAGAGTTCAATATAACGAGAATGACTTGTATAGTAAAGTAACCAATTGTATTAAAGAAAAAATTTAAAAAAATAAAAAAAAATATATATCTTATATATGATAGTAAAGAATTTTTAAGAACCTAATAAACTTTACTATAAAATATCTAATTAATTTTATACGTAATAAAGATTTATATAGTTTATACATAATATTTACTATATTAAAGCTCTTAATATAGTAAATATCTCGATATAGTAAAGATATTTTTGCCGTTCAATAACTTTACTATAATAAGAGTGACTTACATCCGTAATTTGAATGCAGAAACTTGAGAGGTTCAATATAAACAACACAGGATTAAGAAGGGATGATAAATATAATGCACGGAATTTTGTAGAATTTAATTTGTCACGAACGGATTTATTATTTATCACCACAGAATCATCGGACAGAAATTTTTAAATATTTTATTTAAGCAAGTTGTCTTAATAAAATTTTATTTAAGTTTTTATGTTTTAGTGTTTGTAAAATTGTCTAATACAACATTACTATAGAGGTTTAATATACTGTATTATGTAATTTGTATATACTTTGAATTCCTTCTTTTCTTTAATTAATCATTTATTTAACCAATTCTCTCTAAGTGTTTATTTAATCGGTAATGTGTTATAAATTTGTTAATGAGAATTTTTTGTACGAATATATTCAGTGCGCTGATATATGGACTCTCAAATTGTAAAAAAAAAATTAGTACATAAACTTTAACAACCAATATCTTGACTAATTTTAAGGCTATATCTAATTTATAATTGAGAAGAAAACTTTAATTTTAATTATTAAGATAACCTTAAAATTTATCAAGATATTGGTTGTTAAAAGTTTATGTATCTTACTAATTTTTTTTACAAAGTCCAAGCTATAAAAGTTTAGTTAAATTTTTCTTAAATTTTCATGATATAAGATTTTCTAAACCTATTAAATATTATAGTAAATATAATAAATATAACTTTGTATAATAATTAAAATAATTACTCGATGTGACTTCTAGAGTTTATCAAATACATGTAAAATATACTTTTGAGAGCCCATATATGTCATACATCAGAATGGAACTATTCATTACAGCGAGATTGTAGAATTGGGTCTTTATACCCCAATAAAAACAAGTTGGATCTCTATTAATATCCCAATTCATTGATATTCTGCAATTTACAAAATTAAAAAGTAGGTCCATTTAGTTAAATTTGAGGACTTAATATAAAGGTTCAATTCCACAAATCCGCTGTAATGTGTAAACTTAAAATTCACTTTGTTTGAAACGGAATTCCAAACGTAATTTAAGTCAATGCGAAAATTTAAAGTAACTTAATTCTAAATTCGATATTGTAAATGTGTAATTTAAAAAAACGTAAAATTGGTCCTAAAAAAATGGCTCAAGTCAAATTAAGTTTTAATCAGATCAGATTTATTTAATGCAGAAAAATAATATAAATACCATATTACAAATGTTAAAAGTAGATAATATACTGTACTGTATAAACACAAACTGCTTTAGTAGATTTGCTTTTAAATTTAATTAAAAGCTTTATAATAAATATTTCAAGAGAAATTTAAACTAATAAGAAAGGTATTATATAGATTTTAGACTAGTGTTAGTGATAAATATATTAACGTTAAGTTTAATATTTGTAAATAGATTATACGTATAACTAGAGTATTTATATACATGAATATTTATTACATAACTAAATAATTAATAGATATTACTACATTGTTTCGAAATAAATATCTATTTTTTGACACAATATACATACTGGTATGTAACAAAATTACTAAAGTTTTATATAAGGCATAAGAATTATTTTGATATTTTAAAGAATAAAATTCTCGAAATAATGCATAACTTACGAGTTGTTTTGCAATTATTGTTATAAAAATAACTAAGCTTTGTTATATTTTTAAATTTTAAAATAATTATTAATTTGATTTTAAACTTTAATTTTATAAAATTAGTTTTTATAGTGCTAAACTTTAATATCAGTTATTTTAAAATATAGCCACTATATTTAATAACCTCAAAAACATTAATAGGTTGTTTATTTAAATAAATAAATATTTAAATTGAATATACATTTATTAAATTAATTTATAAAGCAGTCTTTAGAAACATGTCTAAAAAACACTATTTAGCCTTAAAAAAATATAAAAATGATAAACCAAACTACAAAGTTTATGCTCCAAACCAGCTTGAGTAGATTTTATTTAAACAATTAAACATCTCTACTTAAAAATTTATTACATCAAATTGGTAAATTCTCATTCGCCCACAATTTAAATGTTCGATCAAAACCGGACGAGGCAATCAATTTGTTGTCTTAAGAATCAAATTTAAGATTAATTTAAAAGCTTAATGTCTAAATAAGATTGAACTATAAAATACAAACCTGTAGAAATGTCAACTGCCATTACTTTTCCATCATGCCCTGCCAATATTTTAAGTAAACTCCAATCATCAGCAGACCAAATGTTTACAAATCCATCATAACCGCAACTTGCTAAATATAATCCAGAAATTGTTGGTTTGACACCACTATCCCACTCTTCATTTATTAATTCTGAAGATGCATGGAAAAATTTTACATCGGATACAAGAGACTTATGTGCAGCAATAGTATAGATACACCGTAAAGTCCGAATGTCCCAAATGCGTATAGTATTATCAGCACTTCCAGTAGCAACTTGATAGCTAACAAAAAAAAAAAAAAGCCATTATTTATATGATCAAAAATCGTAAAAAGTTATAAAATTTTTATTTGAATATTTTTACATACCCATTTGGAGAAAAG